AATGTTATCGTACATTCTTGCTAATTGCATGATTTTGGGTGTTTTGAAGTAACTCATGACAACATCACTTCCAGAATCTACAGCATCCTAAAATGTCTTTAACGGCTGTGTGGACTTTTTCATTCACAAGACCAAGGGTAAATATTCTGGAGGCTGTGTCCCTGTGGATGTACCATAGAAGAGGAGGCCAGAACTTCTGACCACAGAGAGGAAAGGTCAGTTGCCTCCTTCATATCCCACACTGCATCCAATTGACAGGACCAACTGAGTTACCTGCTTTAGTGTAAGCTCTGAGATGTCTGTGCTACGTTAAAATAACACCTGAGACTTACAGTGTATGTGTAACTGTTGGTACAGCCAAAATGACTCTTGCAGATGCTCCAGGATCAGTGCTAGATGCACAGATAAATGCTCTCTCAAATGATTGGGGCAAACAAAATAAATCTTAAATTTTCCTTCTTCAGAAAGGATAGGATTGTCAAGGTATTTAACTCTGGCAAGATCTTATCACATCTCCATTGAAAGCACCAAGAGAAGTCCTAACTGATTTCAATACTGCAGGATCACACTCCAGGTGTTGTGGGGCATTTGCTTATTCAATGTGAAGAACTTTGGTTTCTTTGAACTGGGGAAAAATATCTTTAATTTAGATTATATATAATCATTTTTTATTAGAGCTTAAACTTGGTTAAGTATAATCAGGTAGCTATTGTATAATTTAAATGGCCAGTGATTGTTATTTGATAATAACAACTTACATTTATATAGTGCTGTATATCCCAAAGGGATCCCAGAGGACTTTAAAGACTCAACAATAAAATACACAACAAAGTAAACATTAATTACAATTACAGCATTAGTAGGAAATATGAGGATATTAAAAATCTGGCGGTCTGTGGCTTGCTTCTGCTCTCATTTGAATTCATTAGCCAAGCTCACCCAGAGTGCAAATAGATTATTAGTCATTCTGCCATATCTGATTTAAGAAATTTTCTGTATGAGTATTGTAGTGAGAGCAGAGGAGAGTAGAAAAGAGTGTAAATGGCCTTCTGGAGCTTCACTCATTCCAGTTTCTTAGGTGGAGTGTTATTTTTGAAGTCTGTTGAGCTACTTGAATTAATCCCTCTCTTGTTTGGGGGGTTGTTGTAGTGTTATGCTCTATGAGGCTGGTTCCTTGTTATATGGGAGGAGGCTAAACAGGTTATCTTTCAAATGCCACGTGCCTACAACATCAGATTGGGATGTCATATAATGCTTTGTATAACCAGTTCTTTTCCTGCATACTGTTGAAGTAATTTTGTGATTTTCTGTGTTAACACCTCACTGAGATGAGCAGAGTGGTTTATGCCTTTCGAGCTGCTCTTCCAGGCTTGTGTAAGTTCAAGTTCGAATTTCTTCACCAAAAGTGTTGTCAGGCACTGGAACAGGCCTTTTCCAACCGAAATGATTCTGTGATTCCAAGTGTCTAGCTTTTTGCTTTCTCTCTTTAAATGCATATTGTCAATACTGAAGAAAAGGTGAAAGCTTGAGGGATGTTAAGTAATGTCTTCTACTGTGGCATCTTAGAGAAGACTACTCTGAAACCACATGTGGGAACTGGGAAACCTCCTGCAGCTGGCACTTCACGGGCAAGCTGCAGGAAGACAGGCCCTGCCTTGTAGAGGGCTTGAACAACATAAAAACAAGAATTGCAGAATTATTTGGAAGGGGAATCGCAGAAGGGATAGGACTACTTTCAGAGTAAATTCTTGCTGATCTCAAAAAATAGAGCCAGGAAGACAGATGCTATTTTTGTGGATGGGTAATATAAGTGACTTGCTTTGTGTTATTTCTTTTCTAATGTGTAATAAATTCCTGCCTAAGTCTGATAAATATCCAGGACGCGCTGAAATCCTCTTGAATTAGGAAGGTTTTCAACTATTGACACATGAAGATAAAGATATGTTGCTATTAAAAATAAATTTAGGTTTCCAGTTTGTGAAAATATTACTTTTCCCTGCCTTTTGGCCACAATGTATGAAAACACTGTACTTCAAATAATTCAGTCTTAAAACCATAGTTCTTTCTCAGTCTCAGAGCTTTTCTTTAGTTTCTGTTTTAACACTCATCATCATTGTGTGAAACTTGTTTGCAGATACTGTCTTGTTTTTCAGATTTGTAATGAAGCATGAGGGATTTTTACATTTTGTGGCAAAAGTTTTGCATGGGTCCTTACTGTAAAGCTTTCATAATGTCTTTAAATTGTTTATTTTTGGGAGATGGAAGCAGAGGAAATGGTGATCTACAGACAAACTTTCTGCTCCATTTCCTCCATGCAGCAGATGATAACTCTCAAGTACTAACATGGCTACACCCAAGACACTGAGCTCTAATTTTTGATCCTGCATGTACCAGTGGCCTATTTACTAATCTGCAATCTCCAATAAATTTGTTGTAATACAGCTGAGAGCCTGATCTTTGATAAAGTCGAGCAAACATGCTCAAATAAATGTCCAGGTGGACTTCCTGAAATTGCTTTAAACAGTGTTTTGGATCATACCTCTCTTATCCCTTTACAACCAAGCACTGGGAATCAAAAACACATGCAGCTCCTAGGGGAGTGCTGTGAAAATGTTGTTTCTTTCTGAAACTGAATTTAAGAATAGGTTCACTAATAATAATAATATAATGGTACTTTTGATCATTAGACCTTGGAATAGGATTCAAGTCTTTTCACTCATGCACAAACTGGTACAAGAACACCAAGTTGGGCAGTGTCTTGAGTGTCATGCTATGCTTGACACAACCCTGTTATAAATGCACATAAACACAAATTCACCTTACCTATGGGAAGGTGAAGCTTTCTGCCTACTGTTCCACAGCTTCGTAGGAAAACTTCCTTTTGTTCTGGTTAAACTTGTGTTATATTTTGAAAAGTCTGGATAGATCCTATTGGACAACAATCCAGCCAAGGACATCATCTTATCTGAAAGGAAATGAATATTTCCTCTTAAAGAGACTTCAATTTTTTAGAAGACATTCCTTAAAATAAAAGAACTTCATATCTGCCTTTTTTTTTTTAATGGTCTCATTATTAGTTGAAATTTAAGGACTGAACTCGTAATTACTAATCAAGGTCTACCTGTGGGAGCAGGAACTAGATAGAACCTTGTTTCACTTATTTAAACATAAATCTCTACAATTTGAGATTAAATAGATTTCCCCAGGTTACTAGTAATAGCCTTTTCTATGCCTTTAGGCCATCTACTCAAAAGTGGAAAAAATGTGTGTGTACGTGGGTGACAGAGATGTCACAAAAATAAGACTGGCTTTGTTTTTTGGTATCATTAAAAATGGGTGGACTTTATGGACTAAACATGGAAATTAAAGGCAGGCTGGCTGCAATAATTCTTTGTGTGTAATATGCAATATGTGTAATAAAACAAGGTATGTTCCAGTCATTTGAAATCCCAGTGGTAAGGACTTAGGTAAAATGTCATACTTGCAGTGATTTTTTTAGAGGGAAACAAGAAAATGTAAGAAAGGTTAACTCAAGTCGGAGCTTTAATTTTCTTTTAAGGTTTGTGGGTTTAGAACAGAGGCAGAGAGTGTACATGACATAAGGAATGGCAATGCATTAGTGAAAGTAGGTGTCTAAAAGAAACTAGTCTGTGTTTGTGGGAGCATGAAACTGTTGAAAAGAAACTGCGACTTTCACACTGTCACATACAAACCTCACGATGAGCCTGGCAATGAAGCGTAGAGAAAGACTGTTGTTTCTCCAAGAAAAATAGTGCATGCAAAAAAAGGGAAAAAAAAGCATAAATGGCTCTGGATTTAGTTTTTGTAGTGTTTGGTATCAATCTGTAAGACCAAAAGGAGAGAGAATCTAAATAAACACATGAAAGTCCTGGGATTTTATTATGAAAACCTTTTTCAAAATGCTTTTACAAAACACCTTTAAAATGTTGAAGGAATCTGTTAGAACTAATCTCAAGAGTGGGAAATAAATGGGAATTATTATTACTGCAAATTCTGTAAAGCATTTCCTTTGTATGTTTATAGCACGCAGAAATTATAAATAATAGCTGATTAGTAATCTAGTGTCAGAGCTCTGTTTTCTCCTCATATTGGATAAATCTCCTACTGATGGATCAAACATTTAATCAATCTACTAATGTGGCCTTCAGCACTATAGTATCTGAGTGCCTCCCAGTGTTGGAACGCTCAATAATGCTTGGTTTTTCTCCAGTTACTCTGTGCTCCTTAATTTGATTTTGTTCTTAGTTACACTGATGTAAATCTAAAACTACTTCATTGATTTGGATGGAGGAAGCCAGCATTTATGAGCCGTAAGAGCAGAATCTGTCCTTCCTCTTGCAGTTCCCCAGCTATTCTTAAGTTGTGCTACTAATAATATTTATTAAAGTTACTAATCTGCTCTAGTATACTAATAATACTAATTTATTCTCCCTGTTCCTGCTGCATCTTTTTTATTCCTCTGCCACGTTGGGTATGTTCCAAAGTCCACTGAAATGGCTGTCAGCCTCACTATTGATTTCAGCTGACTGTGGTTCAGTTTCCTACTTGCCCCTCTGTCCTTTTTTCCCCTCTGCAGATCCTGAAAGTTCCTGTGTGAGTTTGTGCTTATCCGAGTAGAGGCTTCTAGTTTATTAAAGTTACATGTATTCCTACAGTTTTGTGAATAAGCACCGTGCTTATCCCCGTATTTTCCTTAATACAAATTGCTGCTCTCAGTTTAGGGTTTTTTTTGAATGGGAACCCCCTCACTCTGCCACAGGTCTTGATCTCAGGTTCAGCATCTCATACTTTAGGGAGGCTTTTGCTATGAGCTTGACCTGAGTTCTGTAAAAAAATCAATGGAGAAACCCCACTTATTTCCTTGAGATTTTCCCTCAGGAGAGTTGTAGTGAAGATGACAAAGCTTCTGAATGAGATAGTTGGGGCTCTTCCTTTGACTTTTATTTTTCCTTTCTTTTCTTTCCCCTTGCTGCCTTTAGTGTTGGAAGCAGAAGAAAAGAAAAAGGAGTTGAGAATTGAAGCTGGGAGACTTGGCAGGTAAGAGGTGTGTTTTCTTACTTGCCAGGAAGGCATTTCTGGAGGTGCTGATGTGAATTGGCAGCGAGTTGGTTCAGCTCTGGGGGACGAGGCTGGCCCAAGACCTGGCACAGTCAAGTTGAGTTCCTTGTACCTTCACAGCCTTTTGGGGCAACTGCAAGCAAATGCTTTGCTTTTCTGGTTCCTCACCTGTGACAGGGGCAGAACTGCTCCTCTGCTGCAGGAGAGTGGCTTGAGGAGAAATGGAATAAAGGCTGGGAAATAATGATCTGGTATAAGAGGCGGTACCACATGTGAGCTACGTGGACAAAGTTGCTCAGTTCAAGGGTGACAGCTGTGCTGTGTGGACACCTGGGCTGGTGTTTGCCTTATTTCAGGAGATGTTTTACTAAGGTACTTGCGTGATATCTGTAATTTCACTGTGTTTTCTTCTTTGAGGACTTGTTTCATTACTTTACTCTCATTTCCTTTTCTACGTGGTTTTAAATGGGGTGAAGGAGGAATACAGTGTAAGCAAAATGCAACACTTGCTTTCATATAAAAACTGTGCTGAAAGCACAGCGACAACACTGGAAAGCCAAGCACTCATCACTGGAGAACTGCAGTTTGCAAAGACAAACCTAAGGGTTTACTTGAGGCACATTTGAGGACAAAAGGCTATTCTTGGGAACAAAAGGCACAGCCAGGCTGCCAGATTTCAAACCTTCCTCCAAAGCTTGAGGCACCAGAGTGTTTTTCAGTTGAGAAGCTCGAAGGATTTTAAGTGTAATATTCCATAACCTTGTTCTTAGAAGAAGCTGTACCATTTCCAAAACACTCAGCCTGAGGCAGTCATGCATCATAGATAAATCAGCCGAAATGGCAAAATATTGGCGGGGTATGAACAACTGCAGGTAGTTGTTTAATCGCTCATGTCAAGTAATCTTAATAACAGGTGTAGCTACTGATCCAGTCAATTATATAAATTGTTCTGCAGTCTTTCCTGGATTCTTACTGAGGCAGAGCTATTGATACAGAAGATGTGCCTGAGTGAGACTGCAGTACTTGGCCCTATAACTGTTTTAAAAGACAGAGCTTACTCAAACAGGGAGGGACGGATGTATTTCTGCTTCTCTGCGTTTTCTCTGTGGCATGCTGTAGCAAGAATCCTTGATTTTCCTCCCCCCCTCCTATAAAATCGTGAGAATACATTTGGATTTTAATATTCAGAGATCCAGAAGATGTAAATAGCACTAAAATAAGTATTGCCCTATTTGAAATTCCCTGCTGGGTCCACCTGTCGTGCTTTGTCTGACGTTGGAATAATAAGCTCTGTGGGGCAGCGGATGCCTCTCTCCCTCATCTGCACAGCCCTTCCCATAGCAGCCTTGTGCTGCTTTTTGGAGGGGGCTTCTAGCAACACATCACATGGAAAAATAAATACCAAACCCCTGTGACTGAGAGTTTGCAGGCACATGGAACAAGCGTGACACAAACTCAGAGATCAAAAGAAGTTTGATAAGAGAAAAAATAATTTTCTAATCTGAAATATTCTTATAGCTTTAGTTGCAAAACTTTTCGTCTGAGAATGAAATATTTGTGTTTTCAGTGTGTGTCACTAATAGACCTCCAACAACCTGTACATGTACATGATTAGGGAAATGTTTGGTCTGGAAGAATTTATCTTCTGGGTTTGGATGTTTGGTTTGTTATTTTTGATTGTGGTTTGTTGTTCTACGGTTTTGTTTTGTTTGTTTGGTTTTTTTTCCACTTGCTAGTGCTTCCCTGGTTTCCTGAAATTTTAAAAACCATACATTGGCATCTGTTTTTTTGCTATGAAGTTACATCATCTCCAAGCAAACCAGTGTAAGGCATCAGGGTGTCTCCCTATGTGTGCTGGGTCATATGTTTAGTATTAAAGCTCAGTTTCTGTGCTTTCTCATAACAGTTTAGTTGTCTGCTAGGAACTGGTAGTTAAAGCATGTCAGACTGGAGATAATTCTTCAGGCTCAGCCTCTGTTTCCACTGCCTTTGATCAGGATACATTAAACTTTCAAATATTATTTATAAATTATTTTTTCACATGTTGCTTTTGATTTTCATAGATGTGCTCTTCCACACAATAGTGAATGATTTCTTATTATAGTTCCTTAGCATATAAACATTGTTGCTGTGAACTCTGATCAAATTTGAACTGTAAGTGCAAGTAAGAATAGAAAGACATGGTTCCCACTACAAAGAGTTTGCAGTTAAAGTGGTAAAAAGTGACATGGAAAAGTGGGGAAGGCAACTGTCAAATGCAGCATGTTCATGTATATACAAATGCACTTACAGAGAGATATACCCTCATTTATCCCTGCAGTTTAATTTAACATTGTAGTAAAAAAAAGTTACAGTAGAAAGATCAATGTATAAAAAAATTTGAACCATGTGGCAGAACTTGTCTTCCTGATAAAAATGAAAAGCAGCCAGAGGAAAGAGGAGGAATGTTGGTATTTTTTTATGGATAAGTTGTCTTAAAGTCATTAAAAGTAAATTATTCAACCTTTTTCCAAATAAAGCATGTTTTTTTTTTTTTATGACTTCTCCCTCTATTTAATTTTGATGAGAAAGAGTTGAGTATCAGTAGAGTTGCAGAAACTTCTTCCACACAGATGTGGTAAAGCTTGTTAAATCTCTGTGGCCTGCAACTTGTACACCCATTGTAGGCTGCAGAGTGTAGCTCTATGAAATAAGGAAAAGGAGTTTGAGGTTGTATGCTTGCCTCAGATTTTACTTCTGGTTGGTAAATAATATGAAAGTTCTTGGGCAAATTCTCATTATAATCCCATGTTCTGTTGCAGCTATGGTTTTGGTCAACCTGACAATTTGAGTCTGTCTGTGTGGCAACGATGGGAAGTGGGTTGGGACAAATTGCTGTTACTGTATTACTTCCCCTCCAAAAAGGTCTCAAAAGGAAACCAACTGCTAAATTGGTAATCTGCAAGCTCACAATATTTGCATGCATTTCTGAGTCATCCTGAACTTTGAGATCTGAATCTTTTATTTGGTTGGATGGCTTTAGTTTTCGGTTGTTTTTGCTGGTTTTGTAGAAATCCATGATTAAGGCTTGTTTACAAGAGCGGCTTGTGAGTGGGTACCTCTGTTGGATTGATCATTAGACCCACCAGGTATAAAGAGCATCATATTTATATCAAAGGAGCAAGTCCAAATCATAATATGGTGCTTTATTGGAGCATTCATATGTGAGTGTGCTTACTGTTATGTCGTGGAGAATTTCAACTGCAAGAACTGTCACCTAAGAGGGAACTGGGATGATTTTATAGTGTGGGAAAGACTTGGCATAAGGTTTTTGCTTGTCCCTTCATTTTGCACCCAGCAGTTGCTCAGGTGACTGAGAATCAGTGGATGACTGTTCCCAGACAATGGAAGTTAAAATTATGCACATTCACTACTGATATATCATATATCCATGGAAATGGGACCAAACAGGAAACAATAACTAAAGAAGCTGAGTGCATCAGAAAACATGTATGAAATGTCCTTTCATGTTCCTGTTCTGACAAGCAGAAACTATTGGTTTGTGTCTCTCTTTAAGAAAAAAATAAATCAGTGCAACCAAGACTAGATTCTTTAAAGTAATCTAACGTGGGTTTGGGGCTCATATTAGGTAGGATGGTGATCTCTTACCTAAATATCATGAGCAGTGAAAATCACGTGGCTCCAACAAACAGCAGACTGACCAAATGTGACCTCTTCCTAAAAGCAGTGTTGTTAGGGCAGCTCAGACCACACTGGCAGTGAGAAGGTGGCACTGGAGTCTCAGAGAAATGTTGTAAACCTAGAAGCGCTTTGGCTCAATCTGCTTGGGATTTGAAGTTATAATCCAGTGGTTTATATGCTTGTTTCTGACTTCCTCTGTGAGCAAATTTTATATGTGCATAGCTGGATTTTTTCACTTCCTTTGTTTAGGTCAGAATGCTGCTGGTCACTTTTTCTCTGGTAATGATTTTACTCTTTAGAAACACTTTTTCCAGGCAAAAAACTTCACTTCAGCAATTAAAAAGCCAATTTGCCCCCAGAGATGTGAAGAAGTGATTCCTCTGCCTTATTCCTATGAACAAGTTTGGAGTTTATATATATGTGTCCTGCACATGGGTACACTTTGTGTTAGGTGCATGGTTTTTTTTCTGAAAAGTGAACAGTGGGAGTAAGGGAATCAGTAGGTTAGATCAGTAGGATCTGATTAGCTCTCGTGTAGCTTGGCCAGCTGGAGGGCAGGGTTTCTGAAAAGCTTTGTTTTTCTTTGGCTTTGAGACTGTGTGTGGGTGTTCACTTCTTGTTCACTTTTTCTGAAAGGGGAAATGCTTTTTATTTAGGAAAAAAAAAAAAAGTAGTTGAACTTTATCTGTATGTCCTGCTCTCAATGTATGTTTAATAATGTTGCTTTCCACTAGGAAATGTTGGTCCCGCTACCCTGGAAGCAGTGTGCATCTGGGCTGTTTTCTTAGTTGATTAGTAAGTCTCTTTCTGAAGGTGCTGTGTATGCCTCAGGACCTGTGAAAATCAGCTAGTGAACCTTTTCATGGTTTTCTTTAAGCATCATTTAAAAGTTAGTTAATGTTCTGGCAAATGTCAGCTCTGTGGAGCTGTTAAGCTACTCTAAAATACATGGCCAATGCAGTGGACAAATCCTGCTGTCTCTTCTTGGCCAATATCGTGATAATTTTCAACACTCTGGAAAGTTTTTGTTTCCTTTTTTGCTTCTAATAAGACACCTGTTCAACAAAGGAAAGAGACCGCTTCATTTAAGCAGGTTTGTGGTGTTTGCTTGTGTCAAAAAATCATAGCTTTTAATTTCTAGAGTTTTAGTCCCTTTAATGACAAAGATGTTAAACAGATGACTTTAACCTGTGAAATAAGTAAGCATACATAATGTGAATAAGTAAGCATACATAAACATAGAATGAATTAATCAAGCAAATAAACTTGCTTTTAATGTAAGGATGTGAGAAGGTAGA